TATTCTTTTATAAAAAAAATGTAATATTCAATATTATCAATATTTTCAAATCTATGGAAAGTTATTAAAGTAAACAAGCAACCAATATATAAAAGTTTATCCGCATATAAATTTAGACGGTGTTTAAGTCCCTTTTTTATGGAGAAGAAAAAAGTATTTTAAAATAGTAACTTAATGAAAAATATGTGGTTGAAAAATAAGGAAAAGTTTTTATTTACACGTAATATTATTTTAATGAATAATATGTGGTTGAAAAGAAGAGAAAGAAAAATGTATTTTGAATATAATGGAAATCAAACAAGGTCTTAATTTTTTTATTTTTTATTTTTATCAATTTTTATTTGAAAAATTGCTCTCTGTATACAAAATTTGGAGAGAGAGAGAGAGAGAGAGTCTAAATCTATATTATATATCTATAATATATTAAATATAACATCAAGTAATAATCGTTTTTGGACAATTTTAACCTTACAACGATTCAATTATTCTCACAATATTTTACTTTTCGTTTTTCAATTTATAATAAATAGTACAAAATCCTTATCATGTATGAATAACACACAATTAATTAACATTCACATTAACTTAAACTCAATGAATTTTGAGTTAATGAATCTTGATCTACATAAATCTAGAGTTATTATAGATGGGTTTATTCTTATTTATGTATTTATGAATTTTAATGGGTGTTTAATTCATGTATTAACAATTAATTTTTATGTATCATATGCAGTATAAAAGGTTGTCATTCGTAGTATTTCATTATCGCAGAAAATTTAAATCATAAAAATTGAGTTTTAAAGGTACAATTTTCTTCTCTTTAATTTCTATCATAAATTTTATTTTCTTTAGTTCGTTTAGAACTTATCAAATCTTCCCAACAAATTGATATCGTATATTCCCTTTACAAAACTTATAAAGCATTTTAAAATAATGGACAATTTACATTCAACTCTGATTATGAAATAATTATTCATAACTATTTCATTTTTATCAGAATATTTAGAAAAGTTTTACTTATCTAAAAGAGTATATTTTACCTAAACATCTTAGCTTCTCACCCACCCCACAGCCCCACAGCCAACTAACTCTCACACCATCAATCGAAGCTAAAACCACCAACAGAAAACTAACATTCTTGTCTGATTTTGACAACAAAGAAACATTCTTTTACACTGAGGATTTGTGAGTATACCGTGGCCAAGGCCAACCATCAGCTTCGTTTCTCCACAATATATTGCAGAAATTTAAAAAAATAATAATAATAAAATTATTTGCATTAATGAAAAATAATATAAGAACCCTCTTGATTTCAAACATACATAACCATGAGGCAGATTCTGAGTGTCCATTTCAACTTTCAGATTCTCCTTACAGTCTTTCAGAAATTATACATGTTAATGTCATAAGCATGAAAATGTTCGAGAACCATAGAGTAGAATAGTTGGAATGATCATTCATATAAATTTCAATAAATTAGTACATATTGTATCTGGTAATAACTTCTATTCAAATATTATGCTAAAGTGCATTCAAATAAGAGAAAAAAATAATTTTTTTGTATTTGCCGATTATTTGGAGTACTCTAAATAAAATTAGAGAAGCAATTCTTTCTACACAATCCTAACAATTTTTATTTTTTTTAATGATGAAAACTGTCATAAAAAATTGCTTAATGAAAACTCAGTGATAAGAATGTGATGAAAATCAAGATGCTAACGACCAAATGATCGGATCCCTATTTTTTATTCCACTTACTTTGTGATTGGATTATGCTAAAGAAATAGGGAGGCTGATCGAACCCCACAAATAGAGAGGAGGTCCCATGTTTTTTCACGATCCCCACCTCATTTATGGGGTTTCGGTCAGTCTCCCTGTTTCTTTAATATAGCCCTTTGTGATTTATATGTGCTATGTAAAATTTGAACTCCTTTATTTCATAACAAATTTTTACAAAATCTAAAGGTAAACGGGCTTAAGCCCCTTCGACAACCAGGGGATTGTCACAGTAGCAGAACCGAAGGTAACCACGCACTGTCCTCAAAAGATTCCTGCACCCTGGACAACCGGTGTAGTCACAGTAGCACAACCCAAGGTAAACATCCACTACACTCAAAAGATTCCTGCACCCTTTGTCACACGTGCAGTATGAAATCCACATTTTAAGATATCAACGGCTCGTGTTTCAGCTTCTCACCCACCCCACAGCCCCACAGCCAACTAACTCTCACACCATCAATCGAAGCTAAAACCACCAACAGAAAACTAACATTCTTGTCTGATTTTGACAACAAAGAAACATTCTTTTACACTGAGGATTTGTGAGTATACCGTGGCCAAGGCCAACCATCAGCTTCGTTTCTCCACAATATATTGCAGAAATTTAAAAAAATAATAATAATAAAATTATTTGCATTAATGAAAAATAATATAAGAACCCTCTTGATTTCAAACATACATAACCATGAGGCAGATTCTGAGTGTCCATTTCAAATTTCAGATTCTCCTTACTTTCAGTCTTTCAGAAAGTATACATGTTAATATCATAAGCAAGAAAATGTTCGAGAACCATAGAGTAGAATAGTTGGAATGATCATTCATATAAATTTCAATAAATTAGTACATATTGTATCTGGTAATAACTTCTATTCAAATATTATGCTAAAGTGCATTCAAATAAGAGAAAAAAATAATTTTTTTGTATTTGCCGATTATTTGGAGTACTCTAAATAAAATTAGAGAAGCAATTCTTTCTACACAATCCTAACAATTTTTATTTTTTTTAATGATGAAAACTGTCATAAAAAATTGCTTAATGAAAACTCAGTGATAAGAATGTGATGAAAATCAAGATGCTAACGACCAAATGATCGGATCCCTATTTTTTATTCCACTTACTTTGTGATTGGATTATGCTAAAGAAATAGGGAGGCTGATCGAACCCCACAAATAGAGAGGAGGTCCCATGTTTTTTCACGATCCCCACCTCATTTATGGGGTTTCGGTCAGTCTCCCTGTTTCTTTAATATAGCCCTTTGTGATTTATATGTGCTATGTAAAATTTGAACTCCTTTATTTCATAACAAATTTTTACAAAATCTAAAGGTAAACGGGCTTAAGCCCCTTCGACAACCAGGGGATTGTCACAGTAGCAGAACCGAAGGTAACCACGCACTGTCCTCAAAAGATTCCTGCACCCTGGACAACCGGTGTAGTCACAGTAGCACAACCCAAGGTAAACATCCACAACACTCAAAAGATTCCTGCACCCTTTGTCACACGTGCGGTATCAAATCCACATTTTAAGATATCAACGGCTCGTGTTTCACCTCTCTCTCACACACACATGGTGTGTGATGTGATCTGATCATCTAATTCGAATGGCATAAATAAATCACATGTGCGTAGGTGGTGATGTCCCACAACAATTAATCAACAGTGGATTAAATGGGTATTGTTTATTTCATTGTCAGTTCCCCCCATGTGATTTGTGACCCTCCTTTCTTTTCTGTCCATCATATATATATATATATAATAAATAATAAATAAATAAAAAAAGAGGCAGCAAAAAGACACCCCACTCCACCCCCACCCCTTCATTATGACAAATTCTTGAAATAGACATGCACAATCATGTTCATCAATTAACACCCCAATCATGACCACATTCTTATTTTTATTTGTAAAAAAATGGCTTCTGGGGTGGGCTGGGATAATCTAGAGTTTTCTTGTATTTGCAGGGGCGGATTGTGTGATCAAAAATTAAAGTGTACTTTAATTAAAATATATATATATATAAACCCTATTTGAATTTCATTCTTTGAAAAAAATACATTTTAAATAATATTTTGACATTATTTTAATCATATATTTTTCAATAATATAATAGTACACGTAAATCTAAAACTTTCCTCATTTTTAAACAACATATTTCCCATCAATATATTATTCAAAAATTTATTCTTATGAAAATAATGGGGCTCGAGCTTCTTTTTAATGAAAATAAGCTAAAATACTTATTTCGATATTTTGAAAATGTTTTATAATTACATCATAATTAATATCGTTAAATAAATTTTGCTACTGTATAATTTTGCTTATCATTTCGTTGACTGGTGTCGAGTTGACGACAAGTAGATCAATTTGAATATAGGAAGTAAATAAATTAAAATAAAAATCACATTCAATCTAAGCCCCCATTTGGCCCCATTATTCTAATTTATAATCTTTGGAATAGTATTTTTTTGAAGAATGTGTAATTGAAAAATAATGAAAAAATTTCTATTTATGTGTAATATTATTTTATGAAAAATTTTGTAGTTGAAAATAAGAGAGAAAATTATAATTTGAAATAATGAGGGCCAAACAAGGGCTAATAAGCAAATGAAATTTAAATTTAATGCAAAAGTAATTCAAATTGCATTTAATTTGTAATGATCCTAAAATTTTTAAAGTCATATTCCATGTGAATTTCCTAATAAAATGATGTAAATTATATTAAAAATTTATTATGCAAAAAAAAATGTTTATGAATTAATTAAAATTTTTAAATAAAAGACGAGTTAACTACCTCTTTTAAGACATGCATTTAATGTATATTTAACCATTGTTGATAATTGTACGGTCTGTGCAATATTACCATAAAATTTTCGAAACGAGCTTCTGCATGATCTATGAATTTTGAAAGTTACCGTGTTATTAAAATTATCAAAATACCAGGTTGAAACAACCTACTTTAATGCATTGTAACTTTTGCTACAATTTGTCGTTCCACATGCCACTGACAAGCAAACAACCACGCCATGAGCGCTCCAAAATGATATTAAAAATTGAGTTTATTTAGCACCCCAAGAGGCATCAAATTCGTAAAAGAGTAAAACCAAAAATTTTGTGGGATCATGATGCCATGTGGATCCCCCCCTATTTGCATATGCTTGTAGTAACTTTTGTTACAGTCGATCGTTTCACACATCATTAAAAAGCATGAGCACTTAGAAATAATATTAAAAATGTAATGTTTCGATTTCATTTGACATCACGAAATGAGTATATCAAAATAGGTCTTAAACGGGTCAAAATAATCATTTTCTAGGGGGGAAAAAAGATCCTAAATGACCCCATGTGGGTCTGCTCCTGATTGCATATGCTATACAAAATTAAGAAAGATACCCATATGGACTTTCCTAATTTCTTTGTAGGATTATACAATGGGGAATAGCCATCAGTGGTGAGAAAGGGGAAGAAATTACAGACCTTGAAATTTACTTCTACACATTGATTTTTCTTTGAATTCACTGTAACTATTTCCTGTTTTACCTGTGGTCCGACAACACATAAGAAATTACAGGGAGTAGAATTAATTAAAGAGAAAATGGATGGCTGTCCCACTTCCTTTACTGCCTTTTAAGTATGCATTTGTATGATTGTAAGTAGGTATAGTCTTTGTAACTAATGCTGCTGGTTTGATTTTTGGTGGTTACTACAGATCAATCAATCTTCATCCTGTACAAAATAAATGCCAAAACCAACCTCAGTAAATGAGCAAGTACCAAGATATAGGTACTTAGCATAAGAATAAACTAAGCAGCTTATAATTAAAACTGGTTTACTTACCTGGAAGCTAAAAGAAAAGACAAGATTCTAGGCCTACATTCCAATGGTCTCATGACCAGAAGCAAACCTGTATTAGTCATGTACGTACTGGCTTATATTAATAAATGCGCGTAAATTAACAAGTCATAGGTAGTATAATAAGGCAAGTAGTGAGTAATTAACTATACCTAGGTACTTGAAAGTAACATGATTTGTATGGAGCCATGTCTAATGAAGAACCAGCAGGAAATAAGGATGAACCAATCAAACTATTGTCAGCAGGAGATGATGCTGAAATCAAAGTGACCTTATCCGCCTCTTCAGGCTCCATAGAGAAAGCTGTTGGATAATCTCCGGCAGCATTTGGAGATGCAAACGGACTATCGGGGAGGTTGTGTTCCAAACTATTTAAATTAAGCAAGAAACTTAACAATTAAGAAATTGAATGCATATACCTCATAAATAGATGAATTAAAGGTCACCCCATAAACATTTAATAAGCATTCAAATAACACATGGGAATGCTAATTTGGGAGCCTTACTGGTAATAATGAGTTTTGACTTGAGATAGAAAACCCAGAAAACAAGGAGGTCCAGTACCTTTCTTGCAAATCATTTTCTTTATTGGGATTTGCTGTGTCTTTGCTATTTTCATCCTTGAGAGGAAAAGATTGCTTCTCTGTATCAGTAATAACATTTACGGTCTGTCTAGATTCCAGAGCAGTAATATTTACCGGATTTTTCACTGCTAAAATTGAAACATTTTCTGCAATAACATAATTCCACATGTGAAAATCTTTACCCCATCTTTCAACAACCATGAAACTCCAATGTCTAATGAAAATGATACAAATAAATTGGTACCTTGTTTAGACTCCGGACTGCTGCGGTCACCAGATAGGATGTTATTTTGGTTCGAAAAACTCGGGGAGTGTGTCTGCGATGAAATAACGCCACCAGTCGAGAGAGTTTGGTGGTGGCTAGTCCTCTTCATGTCAAGAAGTTGTAAACTCATGAGTCTCCTATTTTGGAGCTCAATGGCTTGCTGCAAATCTGCTTGCTCCTCTAATTTTCTTCTCCATAGCATGTCAGGGTTGTTGTAGAACATCCTCACGCCTAAAGCCGGACAAGAAAATGCTCAACATAAATAATGAATCTTGAAGTTTACACAGATCAAACCAAGGAGAATGCTATATTCTTGTAGAAACCAATTGATTTTTAAAGAAACCAGCAAATTGTTAATGCGTGAATATTTGCTTACCAAGCTGAAGATCATACAAATCTCTCGACTCGAGGCCGGTAGGGCTACTATTTCCAGTGTACTCTCCCCTCTCCATCTGTGGCTGTTTTCTGCAAGTATCAACAACCTTAACATTAATAACCCATAGATAATTGGGCTACCACCCAGCAAGGCTTAGACAAGGAGAGTTACCGGTATTTGTCGGGGATTTTGCCCTTCTCCTTGTACGGCTTGACAAGTACCCGAGCATCACACACAAAGTGTGGATTGCCCTTAGCAAGAATGAGCTTTACAGTCTCTGGATAAACAAACGTGACAAAACCAAACATTCGTTTCTGCTGATATGGAATCCTCACATCTTGAACCAGCCCGTAAATACTTCAAGATAAAGAAAATTACTTGATAAACTCAATTCCTCAGTTCAATTAGCTAAAAAATGGTTTAATTAACAAGAAATATATGCACCTGAAATAATTGGACACATCTTCTTCCTTGAAAGTACTATCAGCTGGAAATGTCAAGTAAATCTGCCTCGAACCAGGATTTATCATACCAAAATCACCTCTTTCAAGCCGAGACCGACTAAATTTGTGCATATCATCACCCATAAAGGCTCTACAAGTTCAAAGCCAAAATTATTTACTTCAAACAAAATTTAGAATCCAATATGTAAAATATCAAGGAAAAAAAGATCATGCCTTGGGCTCTCAGCTTGCAGTTGCTGCTGGAGAAGAAAATCCATGCCTCTGTTTGTGGCCACTGGGGAGTAAGGAAAATTAGTAGAAGCCACGAGTGAAGAGGCTGCGGCCAGCCTTTGTTGTGGCACAAACTTGGATCTAAGCAACTCTTGGCACTGCTCCATCTCAAACTGGCTTGGTGAGCCAACCATAGCGGCACCATCCACCCCGTTCTCACCATGGACGAACCTGCAACTGGTGCCATTCTTGCAGTACCCTCTAGCAAAGTAAAGACAAGGTTTCCATCCAAACCCTCCACCAAGATCATCAGGACCAAAGCAGATATCACTAGCTGAGCAGCTGCGGCGGTGAGGAAAGCCGTTGACTGAGTCTTCACCCCAGTTCTCAGCGGCACCACCGAAAGAAGGGAAGAACAGCCCTTCTTCGTCTCCATTTCCACTTGGACTTGAGCCCAAATCTTGCTGTGTGTAGAACACATCAGGGCTTTTATGCATCAGTGATGGAGAGCCATCGTTGAGGAAAGAGAGGTGGTCTTGTAAATGAAGCTCATCAATCAGATCAACCTCTCCAGTTGCATAAAAAGGTGGCGCAGCAGAATTCGTAGCAGATGGAGAGGTTGCATTATACGCAACTGGTGCAGAACCAGGACTGATTAAATCATCCGGGATTTTAAAATCAGAGAAGCTGGAATTAGCCCAAGAGGAAGCTGCAGTCGAAGACTGTTTAGGCATACTTAGAGGAGAAGGAAAATTCACACCACCAAGAAGCCTAGAAGAAGAATTAGTCCTTGAGAGAGATAAAGGGTTGCTGAAATGTGAAGGAGAATGACTTGAAGGGGTTGAAGGAGTATTTGATGACGCTAAACCCAAATCTTTCCTAGCTCTAAGAATTACAGATTGAACCAGAGATTCAGGGCCAAAAGCTAAACGGATCATTTCTTTCTCACCATGGTCTTGTAACAGAAGAATTCCCATGATTTTAGAGGCATTTTCAGGATCCAAGCATTGGATCCTTTGAAAAACAATCTTTGTTGCTTCGTATGCATCCATGTTCTATTTCAGAGGTTAGTAGTAGATTCCACTCCAACCTCCAAACCCACCTTTCTCTTTCAATCACTAGCTACTCTTTCTTTGAGTAAAGAAAGATTGGTAAAAAGCAAATGAAAAATCCCTTCTTTCTTGTTCCAAGCCACGCCTACCAACTGTAGTATAGCAGCAGGCAGTAGTTCACTTAATCTTTTCTCTTGTTCCTGCAGAAAAACCAGAAAGGTAAACAAGAGGAAAAAGGAAAACAAACAAGGAAAAGTTTGGTGGTTGAATTTCTCTATAAAGAAAGATTAGAAGTTTAGAACCAAAGAAAAAAAAAAGGTATCTTTCTCAATTTTCTTTACCAAAATTAAATTAAAGAAGTTGCTTTGAACTCTAAACTCTGAAGTACAACTTACCCATGAAGGATCTCAAATCTTTCATCTCTGACCAGGGAAATCAACTGAAGATAATCAATAAAAACCCACATTCAATTCAACATTCTGTTAAGTCTCTATTATTATTTTTTCCTCTTTCGACTTATGGTTTTGAGCAATTGAAGTTACCGTAAAAGCTAAAGCACCGTCTTCATTCTATGCAGCCTGCCTGTCTGCAGGATTTTGCAGCACTTTGACAGCAACAGCAGGGAGCACAGGAGGACCATCAATACTGCCCGCTGTAACACAATTAATTCCAAGAACCCTCCATCGTTATTTTTTTTTTTTGTTTTTTGGTTTTAAGTAATGCTATTTATAATTGGATTATAATTCAGTCTACACGATATTATTGTGGTATTAAATGAATCATTTAATTTCACATTTTACTTAACATATCACCCAACAACACATAAATTAAGGACAATGCTAGGCTTACTTTACAGGTCCCAGCCAGGCCACACACATACATGGAGCCCACATAAATTATTATTTTTTAAATACATGTCAGACCATTGCACAATGAGAGATCCTGTAAAACACATGCAAGTAATACCCTGTACACTGGGCATTATTCAACGGATTTATAGAGCAATAAATTTCATCTCATCAAACATAGGTTTGATTTAAGAACTGTGCTATCTGCACAAGGCCCTATGCACAGGGGCTCTTTCCACTCCCATGTGAGAGCCCTTCTGCAGGGGGCTTTTCCCTTGATTTAAAGCCTATGCTTGTCTCGTATTAAAATAAAATTATTTAATTTTTATATTCATTTTCAAACACACGTTTGCACAATAAAAATGCTTACACTTAAATTCAATATTTTTTTCTACTTCTTAATTATACATCATCCAAAAAATTAATATTCAAAACATTATTACTTTTTTCCCGATGAGGTTTTTTTTTTTTTTTTTTTTTTTTTTTTTTAATTATACATCATTCAAAAAATTAATATTCAAAACATTATTATTTTTTTCCGATAACGAGGTTTTTTTTTTTTTAATTTATATGAAAAGACCTTTCCCAAAAGTTCCCGACCCCAAATGTTTGGTCAAGAAAATCTAGTCTTAACTTAATAAATCATATAATGTCAATTATATTCTTTCTTTTAAAAAAAATAAAAATGGATTATGTATTTAGAAGGAATTAATTGTGTCATTACACATTGAATTGTGTCCATCATCCCGCTTTATTCACTTTATCTTAAATTGCTTTTCAAATTATCATTGAACTTGCACAAATTGCACTACATCCATTACCAACAAAGTTACCGTTGTTTGGGAAGCCTACATGGACATATGAAATTCGTCGTGGCACATTGGTGAAGTTAAAATTGCTAAATAAGCATTGTGTGACCGCTACATGTGAAAGGGTTAATTGTTTTATTACACCATGAACTTTGCACATTGTTATACTTTACTCACTATACTTTAAATTGCTTTCAAATTGTCACTGAAATTGCACAAGTTGCACTCTATCCATCATCCAAGAATTTATCAATGTGCTCCTTTTGACTCACAGTCTTCTAGGACACAGCAATTATCTAATATCTCATCAGATGGAGTTTTATAAATGAAGCATAATGCCCCACAAAATGTCTTTATTCTATATACTTTCTGGGAGATTATATGTGATACTCATACCAATTTGAATCATATTAACATGATGCATTTCATTTCAATTAAGATGATACCAAGGGTTGTTGTCGAATACAATGAAGTCACACATCTAAAGTAAAAATTATTATTTATTTTATTTGAGGAAGTTTGATTGATAAAGATACACGTGACATAGGTGAAATACAACTTATACTTGGTTGAGATGAGTAAAGATTATATGTGATTTGATTGGTGAAGTTGCACTTATGAGGGAACAATAACAAATGCATCTTCTCGTTATGCATTTCATTAGTTAGATGTATTAACTTATTGTGTCCCACAATCACATTTAAATAAATTGTACGAATTAAATACTAAAGTTAATTAAAAATTGAATTTGAATTTTAAAAGTTAGAAAAATCTCAAAGAGAATGTTTGAGCAGTAGAGCATGACCGACTCAACTAAATGAGGAAATTGCAAAATTCAAATCAGTTAACGTCAATTCTCATTATCATGTATTTTCTTGACTATCGAAAACAACGAAACCCAAATCAGATTAACTTCCGAATCTTCGGTTACATACAATAAATTTTACTTTTTTCTTGAACATCCAAAGATGACTATCCTTTGAAAAGACTCGAGAATTTAACATTCATTTTTATTTTTATATTTGCAGTGGGATCTCAAATGTAATGTAAACTCTTGAATTTTGAATGTAGACTTTTGCATTTAAATTTGTACAACGCTTTATAATTTGATTTATTTCCTTTTCTTATATTCAAGAACAACATTGAAATAATTTTTGATAATTTGATCTAATTCCTTTTGCACTTAGACAGTTGATCTATTCTAGAAGATCGTGAATAGAAAAGAAGGCAATGGCAACTTCTTGGGTGATGGATGGAGCACAATTTGTGCAAGTTCGGTGACCGTTTGAAAGGAATCAAAGTATAGTTAGTAAAACGCGATGATATGCAAAATTCAATATGCAATGAAACAATTAACTTTTTCAGACATGGCAACCACACATGGCTTATTTTGCCATTTTAACTTCGTCGACTTGCCATGTGGGATTTCATCTATCCACATAGAATGGTAACTTTGTGGATGAGATAGGTGAATGTAGGTAGAGCCTTGCCAAGCCCTCAACCCATTTAGTTGTTAGTGTAAAAAGAATATTTTTACACATTAGGTCTACTTGAACATTTTTCTAATCCGATCCTAAATTCATCATAGTGAGTAATGGATGAAATGCAACTTGTGCAAGTTTAGTGAACATTTAAAATCAATTCAAAATATAGCGAGTAAAGCGCGTCGATAAGCAAAGTTCAATGTGTAACGAAACATTAATTATATTTAGACTTTGCATAATAAATAAATTTTAAATTAGAATATACTGTAATTTTAATACTTAGCCCCCGTTTGGCCCCCTTTTTTTGGAAATGAAAATAGGTGAAATAGCATTTTTTTGAAAAATGAGTGGTTGAAAAAGAATGAAATTTTTAAGATTTACGCGCAATATTATTTTATGAAAGAATGTGCGGGTGAAAATAGGAGAGAGAAAAATGGAATGTAATAAAATGAAAATTAATGAAATTCAAACGAGGGCTTATAATTATATATATGCCTTGTACAAAAACGTATTCTGTTTAATTATATATATGCCTTGTACAAAAACGTATTTTGTTTTTACTTTTCAATCGGACGATGACTCATCAATTGAATCAATAACCATCGATTGACCAGATAGCCCATTGATTCGATGCTTTGAACGAGTCAATGATCAAGCCAAATATGATAACTATGGCACATAGATCAAGCAAAATGTAATGGGAAAGAAACATTTAGGAGCTAATGAAATTTTATCGAACTAATTTTTCTTATATGTATGGTTCTTGTTTGAGTCACATTCTTTAAAATTCATTTTAAATCCTACGTTTTTTAAATAAAATAATTTTGCATGTAAGTTCAAAATCTTTTCATACTTTTTAAACAAATATTTAATTTTATTTATTTTTTGACAAAATGTATTCTAGAAAAATTGAGTCAAACGGGACAGTAAAAAAAATTCAACAGTCGAAATACGACTTGATATTAGTGAAGGTCCCCAACCTTTAAGTCCATTGAACTTTAGTCCTCATAATTCAGCAAAATTTTTCACATGTACGCATATAGGTACACACTTTCCTTTGAATATGACACGAAGGGTAGTAACGTCCATAGAAAGTTGAGATTTTCTATAAATATAGATAGATCTATGTCAAAATAGAACAGTGCTGGACGTACAGACTCCTATCAGACAACACTAAAGCTCCGTTTGGTATCTATTTTTTTCAAAATATATTTTTCTTTCTCTTTTTTTCAACCACACATTCTTCATTAAAATAATATTACACGTAAATTTAAAAAAAATTTACTTTTTAATTATATATTTTCTATCAATTTACTATTTCAAAATGCATTTTTACATAAAAATAGCTATCATAAGCGTGGGCCTCGACGCAATTTTATTTTATTTTCATGTGAGACCGAGGGGTCGGTAAAACCTCTCAAAATAATGCACGTTCTTACTTGCACTAACCTCTGACACACTCATAGACACACGCGCCCCCACTGTCCTCTAATTTTTCCCACTTCTTTTTAGCTCTCTGAGGTGATGAATCCTAGACGCAGTTGGAGTGCGTGTATCCACTTTGATGTGGGCCCAATTGCCTCTTCTTATGTCCCGACCGTCCGATTAAGGATGTGGCCTAGATTAGTTCAATTCAATACATTTAGGGAATAGTCAAATGGGCACTCCAAATTATTGAGCTAGGATTCCACCCTCATGTGCAAATAAAGCAAGGCAATTATTCTACATTTGTACCGGGTGGTTTTCTAGGGTAGGGTGGGGTAGGATGGGGTGCAGTGATCCAGGTGAACATGTTACTTGTATTATTGTTGAAGGTCATGTCTCCTGTCTCTTTTGGGGAGGTTGTCAACAAATTCATGTGAATTTTCTTGCAATTTGGTTCAATTTGTCCTAAAGTATAATCACAATATTTTTGGACCAACTCCACCTAGATAGAAGCACAACAACGTGTTTTATATGCATTTGTATGAGTAGGCTCGATGTCGTTAGTTTATCAAACGGCCTTTGTTCAGTTAAATTTATCTCTAGAATCTTTGTGCTGGTCGCAAATTTTGCGTTTTCGAACTTAAAGTAATTTTGGAGAAAAAATTTGTGTTCGATTGGTCTGAGTGGACCGACTCGATTCGCTAAACTCAACTGACATGTTTAGAAGTGCGTGTATAATTCAATCGCGATCAAATTTGTTGGAAAATGATGTCTTAGCCCCAATCCTACTTATGGCCCAGTTTTAGGATACGTGAATAGCATAGATAATCAGTGCAGGTCCATTTTAATCACAAAAGTCAGTTTATATAGTTAGTTAATAGTGGCCTAATGAGTAAAAGTGAAAAATGGAATATTAATCCAATGAGTATTTGTAATATTTATATATGATATGTCAAAAACTTTGATAGGAATTAAAATTTAAAATTTTAATAGAGTCAAAAGTCGATCTTAACTACATATTTTATCAGACTCACAACTTTTTCAATCATATATTTCATCAATTTTTATCAAAATCTGCTAAAAACATGGGCTAAATTTCATTTTAGATATTT